CAGGCCTTTAGTCCCAGCACTTGAAAGGCAGAAGAAGATCTCTGAGTTCGAGGCCAGCCTGACTGCAGAGTGAGTTCCGGACTGCCAGGGCTACACAGAGAAAGCCTGTCTCAAAAAGAGAGAGAGAGAAAAAAAAGAGAGAGAGAGGAGAAGAAGAAGAAGAACAACAACAACAAAACTATTATAGTCCAATTGGGCTAACAGGAAAATTCAGACAATGATATACTAAAGAGGTAGGGGGAATGGCAGGTACCTTTTAGGAAATAATTTAAGAATAGATACTATGCTATGTATCTACAGACAATGTGCTATTTTTTCCCACATATTAAAAACACCAGCATGAAGAAAACCACATACTGCTCACTAATATAGCACATATATTAAATGAATCAAAGGGAAAACCTACAGTCTGTGATGGAGAAAGGCGAGAGGCTGGAATGAATCAAGGGAGAATGTGGTGCTTTCAAAAAGATTCATGGAATATATGAGAAGGATGAACTAGATGTGAGGAAATGTTTATAATCAACATTTCAGCCATGAGCACATATGCAGTTAAAATATTTATAATCACCATATCGGGCAAACACATGTATGTATTTAAAAATATTTTTAAATGAAAAGAGAATAGTAGAAAAACTAAAATCAATTGTTTAAAACAACCTCTTATTGCATTTAAATCTACACTGTTAGTCTACAATAAACAAAAGGGAGGATTGTATTTTGTTGTCACAGTAAGAGGCCTCCCATGTGACTTAGCACTCAGGATTTGCACACTATGCTTTACCATTTGATAAAAGCAGACAAAACTAAGCAGGCTTCCCATGAATATGGTCATCTAAAAGCATAAACTGAAAAGGGCCAACGTCAATGGAGCTTGTTTTATCTTAACAGGGAGCCAGGCTATAAACTACGACTTAGAACCTAAGGGTAGCTTTGGAACAAGAGGAAAAATACAAATGTGAGCTGGGGGTGTGGAGTGGGCCGGCAAGTTGGTCCTCCTCTAACAGACAACTCTTGGGACCTTGGTTCTCTGCAGATTTAGGATGTGTGGGCCAGCTTCCCTTGGGTACTCACAGGAACCTGCCCATGTTAGCCCAGTTTCCTACAGCTCATCCTGAAGGGAGATGCAGCAGTGTGCCTGGTGGCAGAATGGCTCCTTACGGCCTGTACTTTGCAGCCTCTCCAGCCAGTGGCTGTAAATACCCTCACTCAAGCCCTTACACAGTCTCCCTAGCTTTTTTTTTTAATAATTATTTTTATTTTTATTGATTACAGTTCATTCACTTTGCATTCCCCCTGTATCTCCCTCCTCCCCTCCCAGTCCCACCCTCTCTCTTCCCTACCTCTGTCCCTCTCCCAGTCCACTGAAAAGGGAGGTCCTCCTCCCCTTCCCTCTGATCCTAGTCTAACAGGTCTCATCAGGAGTGGCTACATTGTCTTCTTCTCTGGCCTGGTAAGGCTGCTTCCCCCTCAGGGGGAGGTGATCAAAGAGCAGGCCAATCAGTTCATGTCAGAGACAGTCCCTGTCCCCATTACTATGGAGGCCACTTGGACACTGAACTGCCATAGGCTACCTCTGTGCACAGGGTTCTAGGCCATCTCCATGAGTGCTTCTTGGATGGAGTATCAGTTTCAGAAAAGACCCCTGTGTCCAGACTTTTTGGATCTGTTGCTGTCCTTGTGGAGCTCCTGTCCTCTCCCACTTCTTTCGTAAGATTTCATGCCCAAAGTCTGGCTATTGAGTCTCTGCATCTGCCTCAATACCCTGCAGGGTAGAGCCTTTCAGAGGCTCTCTGTGGTAGGCTCCTGTCCTGTTCCCTGTTTTTTCCCTCCTCCGATGTCCATCCTCTTTGCCTTTCTGAAAAGGGATTGAGCATCTTAGCCAGAGTCCTTCTTCCTGATTAGCTTCCTTAGGTGTACAGATTTTGGTATGATTATCTTATATTATATGCCTAATACCTACTTATGAGTGAGTATATACCGTGTGTGTCTTTCTGCTTCTGGGATACCTCACTCAGGATGATCTTTTCAGAGACTGGGTTTCCCTGTTGGTAAACTCCCTAGCTTTTTACACAGGAAGAGCTCTTACTACCTGAGACCAAGTCAATGTTCTTGCATACTTAGAAATTAATTCCGGATGAATCATTCAGTGAATTACTGGTTGAAAAGTCACATTAAATGAGGTGATAAATTCTTGGGTTAAAAAAACAGAAAATCTATAAAAATATGCTTCTATACTCTGGTCAGGATACACCAAAAGGCTTGTCTTCCCTTTACACTAGTCAAAAACAAACACTTTAGTTAACAATATTAAGGGGAAAAAAAAGAAAAATATTTTTAAACAATAAATGTTTCAACAAGTAAAATGTCTTATCCTCAAATGCGTACAGTGCCCCTTTCTTGTTCTTCTCCCTGGGGAGGCACCAGGCGTAGAGACTGTAGCCAGCCCCAGAGCTTCCTGGGCAGGTACTCCACCACCGAGCCACACTTCTCACTTCTGCCAACACAGGAGCTGTGCTGCCCTCAAGGCACTGAGCTCAGTGCTTCCAAGATGGCAACAGCTGGGCAGTGGGCTGTGCTCACGCTCGAGACTGGGAAGCATGGGATAATAATACAACGCAGAGAACGGGGCAGAGACTTTCAAAGGGAACCCTTAAGAACTGGGAGGTCAGAGAAGGAAAATGTTTGTGGTGAGAGCCATGCAAGGGAAAGTCAGACTGGGTTTCAGGACAGCTGTGGGTTCTGTTATGCCTTAAAAACAGTAATGTGAAAGTAAAAGTACTACAATTTCTGTATCCATTCCTCAACTGAGGGACATCTGGGTTGTTTCCAGGTTCTGGCTATTACAAATAAAGCTGCTACAAACATGGTTGAGCATATGTCCTTGTTGTGTACTTGAGTATCTTTTGGATATATGCCTAGGAGTGGTATAGCTGGATCTTGAGGAAGCACTATTCCTAATTGTCTGAGAAAGTGCCAAACTGATTTCCAAAGTGGTTGTAAATGTTTGCATTCCCACCAGCAATGGAGGAGGGTTCCCCTCTCTCCACAACCTCTCCAGCATGTGTTGTCACTTGAGTTTTTGATCTTAGCCATTCTGATGGGTATAAGGTGAAATCTCAGGGTCGTTTTGATTTGCATCTCTCTGATGGCTAAGGATTAAGAATGAGCAATTCTTTAAGTGTTTTTCTGCCATTCTGTATTTCTCTACAGAGAATTCTCTGTTTAGCTCTGCACCCCATTTTTTAATCGGATTGCTTGATTTGTTGCTTTTTAACTTCTTTAGTTCTTTATGTATTCTGGATATCAGCCCTCTGTCAGATATAGGGTTGGTGAAGATCCTTTCCCAGTCTGTAGGCTCTCATTTTGTTCTGACAACAGTATCTTTTGCTTTACAGAAGCTTTTCAGTTTCATGAGATCCCATTTATTTATTGTTGATCTTAGAGCCTGGTACTTTTACACAATGGAATACTACTCAGCAATTAAAAACAAGGAAATCATGAAATTTGCAGGCAAATGGTGGGACCTAGAAAAGATCATCCTGAGTGAGGTATCCCCAAAGCAGAAAGACACACATGGTATATACTCACTTATATAGATCTATAAGATAGGATAAACATACTGAAATCTATATACCTAAAGAAGATAAACAAGAAAGAGACCCGGGGTAAGATGATCAATCCTCACTTAGAAAGACAAATGGAATGGACATTGGCTGTAGGAGAAAACAAGCAACAGGACAGGAGCCTACCTCAGAGAGCCTCTGAAAGACTCTCCCTAGCAGATTATCAAAGCAGATACTAAGACTCATAACCAAACCTTCAGCAGAGTGCAGGGAATCATAAGAAAGAAGGGGGAGTTAATATGACTTGGAGAGGACAGGAGCTTCACAAGGACCAAATATATCTGGGCACAGGGTCTTTTATGAGTCTGTTTTTCCAACTAAGGATCATGTATGGATATAACCTAGAACCTCTGCTTGGATATAGCCCATGGTAGCTCAGGATCCAAATGGGTACCCTAGTAAGAGGAACAGGGACTTTTTTTGACATGAACTCAATGGTGGGCTCTTTGACCTTCCCCCTTCCCGTTGAGGGAGGAGTAGCCCTGCTAGGCCACAAAGGAGGACTTTGCAGCCAGTCCTGAAGATACCTGATAAACCAGGGTCAGATGAAAGGGGAGGAGGTCCTCCCCTACCAGTGGACTTGGAAAGGGGCAGGGAGAAGATGAGGGAGGGAGGGTAGGATTGGGAGGGAATGAGGGAGCGGGATACAGCTGGGATACAGAGTTAATAAACTGTAACTATAAGATTAAAAAAAAATTGGAAGATGTCAATCAAATGTATACTGAAGATGGGCTAAGAAGTTGATAAGTAGATATTCAGTCATATCTTGGGGAATATCTTGGGGAAATTAAGAGTGGGGAGTTAGAATTGAATATGACCAAAACTTATTATATGAAATTCTCAAAAGATTAATAAAATATTTTTAAAAGATGAAAAAAAACAAAACAAACAAAAAAACAGTAATGTGACCGATGTAGCCAGGGCAGGGGTGAGGCAGTAGGGTAGGAGGGCTGAGCACAGGAAGAGGGTCCTCTACACGGGACATTCAAGTCTGAGCCTGGGTGACAACTAGAAAAGGAAGAGTGAGGAAGTAGATAGCATTTTGAGGCTTCTTGGGTGATTTGCACTTCCGAACAGTAAGGGCAAACCAATTCAAAACGTTGGCCAAGGACCAGTGTGACCAGACACATGCTTCCAGAAGGCTAAGTAAGCATTTAAGTTTTGTATGGTGAACTCTTCCATAGTATGGCAGGAGAAGCAGGTAGAAACTGGAGATGAAAACAATGACCAGGAATCCATAGGACAAATAAATTAAAACACAAAACAATACAACAAGAACGGAGCAGCATCAAGTGGGCTGGGAAAGGCAGCATGCATGCAAACTAGGGGGCGTGCTGTCATTAGCATTCAGAAAAATGCTCGCTGAAGGCTTACCTGATTCTTCTGTGTCTTGCTCGTCTATTACACCCACCAAGATGCCTAAATCCACACACTTCTTGCTATGTGCCTTGGACTTCATGTGTTTTGTCAGATTTCCTTAAGGGAAAAAAGTCTTTATTAAACTTCTGTACTGGGATTCTGCTATTGCATTTGTCAGCTCTGAAAATTTTTATTCTTACTTAAACAAACAGCTACACAGCAGTTAGACAATTCCAACAACTAAAAGTGTATAAAAGAAAACACTAGTTTTTATAGTAAGTTGCAATGACCTTCATGTTTACCAGTGATAAGGAGCATTTTGTCTTCAAGTTTGCCCTGTCTACTCTCAACGTTGCTGCTTTTGCCCTTTGGGGTCTAGTCTCCAGTTCTTATTCCGTAAGAGTAGGCACACTCCACATCTCTTTCAGGGTGCACTCTGACCTGTAGTTGCTGGAATGTAACTTATCCACTAGTTGTGCTTGCTGCCTTGTTTTCACAGTAGTTCACTGTCCTGTATGTCTTTTCATTTTAAGTCCGTCTTCAGTAATATGGTGTTCCATGGAGTCCTAAGCATCCCAGCTTGTAGACGCATCTCTAGAACAGCTTTCTGCTTGAGACCTTAACAATTTCATTAATCTCAGGACAATTTCTAATTGCTTATTTCCCATATGGCCCAACATCAATGGAAAGGAGGATCAAATGGACTTCAGAAGCCCTCACAGGCATAACGTACCCAGACCCATTGGCATAAATATTGCCATGACTCCCCTATGATGTTTGAAGGATCTCCCTACCATGCTAGTTTTTAGGTTCTGCTTTATTTCTGGTACTGGGGGACCTGCAGTTTTAAAGTTTGAACTAGTGATGACTGTTCTGGGTTGCTTTTTGGCATCATAAGCAGCATAGTGTATGGCACAGGAGACAGAACCTGCTCAGCACTTTCACGACATGCATTGAGCAGATGTGTCTGGAGCAGCTCTAGCCTTTCTGCTATGTCAGCTGACACATTCACCTGTGTGACTATCACTGGCTGAAAGGGCACACCTGCCTGGAGTGGCCATGGATGACAGCAAGCAGCTCAGAGTCTTCTGGGAACCCCACTCGTCCTAAGTGGATTATACTAGTCCCCAAACCACTGCCAATAAGGGCACATCTCTTTTGAGAGGCAGAGAACAAAATTTAAATACTGAATTTGGAGGGCAGGAGCAAATTAGAAATGCTTAAAATGTTGGAACACTTGTGCTAACTGTTGGGCTTGCTTTGCACTAGAAGCCCATGTCCATCTGTTGGCTTTAAACAGCTTCAATTCCTTGATAAATGCATCGTCTGTGAAGCTGTTCCCAGCTGGATATGGCAATTCCAGCACGAACTGCTATACTCTTGTCAACACCCCAAAGCCAAGTGCTTCAGAAGTCCAAGTCTAAGATGCTTCTGCAGCATGTGTGATCACTAAGAGGCGTCAGCCGCTGGCTGCTACCAGGTGCATCCAACAGATAACACCAAGCTTCAATGGTCTGCCTGTGGCTGACATTTACATTACACTGAAAAAATGTGGCAGAATGTTAAGAGTCATTAAGATACACAGGGCAAAATGGTATTTATTATATAAATATCTTCTGTAAGAGCTTCAAAGTTCACATTAAAAAGTAAGTAAATAAATAAACAAATGGTTAAAAGCCACCTTGCTGTGCCCAAGAGCTCCATTTCTAAGTCAAAATGCTTTCACAAAAGTAACAAACTTCTTAAGACAAATAAAAGCCTCAGTGGCCATTCACTGTCAAGGGAAGGTCTATGCTAAGAAATTAATATGCAACTGTGTCTGGGTGAACTTGGGAATTGAAGTTTTTAACATATGTGTTTCCTCATGGTTCAATTTATTACTTATTATCAATCAACTCCTTAGTTGTTGTTTTTTTTTTAAACTCTGCATTTACATGTATAGGACGTACTCATTTCACACTATTCCTCGATCTCCTTAGGATCAGTGCTATGTATGTGATAACGGCTTGTGATTTGGTTAGCCTTTTAAACATGCTCCTGTTCTCATGTCCCAAGTTAACATATCCTTCTTAAATTACAGTGTCACACCAGTGAAGGAGCAATAAGCTGGTTAAAAGCTCTGTTTCCAGGCAATACTGAGGAACCGCCCTGACCACTGCCTCCTTGCTCCACCTCCAGGGAAGGAGGGCCTTCCTACATCACTAGCAAAATGCCTGTGACTGAGGACACCTCTGACCCTGGGCTTGCCTGAAACTCTGCACAGCTGCTCAACGCTTTCTGAAGAGCTCTGGTTCCCTATGATCCTTTCGCAGACACACTGATGTCTGAACTAATATAAAGGTACTCAGCTGTGACAGCTGTAACTTTCTTTAAATGCCAATAAGTCCAAGGCAAAAATGCAGCAGAACTGGCTAAAGAGATGGTTCATCTTTACCAAAGAACTAAAAAGACAGCCAGTACAACAAAGGCAAACATGAACTCAAAAGAAACACAGATCGTTACAATAAAACGATCATGTTTTTTACAGACACTGCTTTTTAAGTCAGGTGAACCCCATGATTAGCCTGCTTTGCTGAAGAAAGTCCTACTTTGTTTAGGACAGTGTACGAAACTGCCATCTTTAATGACTTGTTACATAGTGACCGGTGAACAAGGAGCAAGCGTTTTCTAATGGTGTACCCGCTCCGCACAACAGGGAACCTGTGAAGGGTAAAGTTACTTCATTACGAGGGCTTATACTTTAAATAAACATAAAACAGAAGCATGCTAAATAGTTTTAAACCAAGTTCTGAGAGACCATTAAAAAATTTAGTAGTAGAAATGTTTAAAAAAATTTAAATCTGAAATATAATATAATTTGGGTTAAAGTTTATCAAAAAAGATAGCTATTTATGGGTAAAATCAGATAATAAAATGAGTGAGTATGAAATTTTATTCTGATTATTATTTAAAATCTTTCTTGAATCTTTTTGAACTCAGATGAATTTACTTGTGATCATAAAAAAAAATATATGTTTTTTTTCTTCAGCCCCAAAGTATTTTGAAAACGTTAGTCTCTGTTACAACTCAGGGAGTAAAACGTAAGAAGAAACAGTTGATGCTTTTAAAATGCTACTTTTACTTATGTATATTCCAGAACCCTGTATTTAAAAATATTTTCCTTAAAGGGCCTAGAAACATAAAGAACAAACGCTACAGTGCTGGCAAGATGTACCTTAGTCTATGGAAGCTATTTATCCTTGGCCAAAGACTGCACAAAGCTGGACCCTGGCTTTCCTGTGGACGGGCACACAGGACGGCCACAGCGGTAAGCACCTCATACCTTTTGTCTTGAAGGAGAAGTTACAGTATGTGCAGTGGTAGGGGCGAACATCTGTGTGGGTTCGTATGTGTTTCTTTAACATACTGGGCTTCTTACAACGTATTCCACATTCTTCACAAATGTACTTTCCTCTTCCCCTGCCTCGGACATATACATAATCCTCATTTGACTTGTATCTAATATAAAGGGGAAAGAGAGCAAACAGAGACATTGAGTATTATGTCTTTGAGAAAATATTGATTAAAATTCAACCTAAAAATAAAAAATAAAGCACAACTTTTATACGCAATCTCCAATGATTTTACGCACATTTAGGAAAGAGAAGATTCCTAGTTTCTGCATCTCACCTAAAGTTCTGACAGCTAATTCTACTTGTAGTCATTCAACATGAAGTTCAATTCTTAAATAGTTTCACAATTTCAGATACCAGTTTGATAGACTTTTCAATGCTAAATTCGGTCCTACTGACTGTAAGCCCTGAATTATCCACACTTTGCTAGACACTGGCTCTTGCAGCTTGCTTTTCCAACACCACAGGGCAGCAGCTAGCACAGTTTCTTATTCTTGTACGAAAACAGAAAGGCAGCAAAAGCCAATAAGCACATCTCACTCAGAGAAATTTCCCAAGCCGTTCCATGCTGCAAATGCATGTGGAGGTCAGGCTAACTCTCGAGCTGTTCTCCGAGACCTTCAGGAGCTACAGTTTTCCCTAGTCATCATTTCCTCTATCAAAATGGAATTGCTTAAGAAACTACTAACACATGTTGTCAGAGAGATTCTGTTAGCTTAAAAAAAAAAAAAAACCTTTAAATAAATCATCACTGGCAGTTCTTCATTCACATGACAGCAAATGTACATTTAAAAGGAGTTTAAATGTACATTTAAGAATAAAATATGTACTTGCCCTCCATCAAATATTTTAATTCTTCTTGGTTCACTTTTGATTAAGGAATTTTCTTTATCTTGCTCACTGTTAATTTCAGAGTCATCTTTATTGCTGAGTTCAACTACTGTGGACTTTTGATTACCTAATGCTCTCTGAAAGGGAAAAACAAAAAGAGAAACTAATTTCATTAAACTGGAAACACAAACACCATGTTTCACTGGCAATTCACATAACCAAGTACAGACAAGTGGTTAGCTCAATGGTGGTGGTGGGGGGCCCCTCCACAGAGGTAGCAGGGTCAAGGCCATCTGCTTTCCTCCCTCCAGTCTCCCACCGCAGCCCTCGATACCTTGTTAACCACCTTTGCTGTGAGTCTAGGAACTCAACAGAAATCCTTCTTTAACAGACTAAACAGTCTTTAGGTTTTGCTGGAAACCCTTACTATAGTTTAAGTCTATTTCTTAAAGAGTTATCCTTGGAGATAGAAAAACACTAGTTACCGCTAGGCACAATATAGTCTTAGCTCCCTCAAAGACACAACAGAGCTCCTTCAGCTTGGAAGAGGCAGCAAAGTGAATGAGAAACCCCATTTCCCATGTGCAGCCTGCCCCTGCCGGATTGCTCTGAAGCAGAACATGGTTTCTCTCTGGCAGTTTCCAGAAACAAAACACTGATTAGCGTCAGACCAAGTCAAAGTCTTCAAGCTGATGACGATAAAATCTTTTGGGAAAAGGTAAGACATCAAAATGGCAAAGCATCTACAGCTCTCATAGAGGGAGTCCTGCCTTATAGCTGTCTTCAAGACTTCATAGGCCATCCACTTTGTCAAAGCCAAGTGTTAACTGCAAAGGCTACTACGACCCTTGCCCTTGCTTCCACGTGTGGCACGGAAGAGCTCCCTTCCTACGGTGGGACTCAGCAAGACTGAAGTGACTCCCTGAGACCAGAAAATGTGTGTGTTGTGAGGGAGCAGCTGCATCCCCTGGAAAGGGGGCTTGGGAGCCCAGGCTTGACTACGGCAGCTGTAAGCAAAGGCTGCTGGCCGGTTCCAAGGAAGAGGAGAATGGTGAACACCGACATGCCCACCATCCCTTCTACTCCCTAGGGGGCAAGCAGACCAGATTCTCCAAACAGCAGAAAACACACATACACTCTTAGTGTGGACTTAACCCCTTCATCAAAGGTCTTGCTTACCGCCTTTCCAATATCAAATTCTGCTTTATCTCTGTTTTTAGGGAGCGGCGTGTCAAGGATGGAACCTAGAACCTACAGATGTTAGGCTAAGTTCTTATTCCAAGAGCACGCCTCAGCCCACAACTCCCTGTATCTTTTTCTCACTTTCCTTCCATCAAATCCAGCTTCTACTTGCTAAAGATGTCAAATCATCATCTCGACAGTTCTGGGTGCTTGCCCACTCCTTGGCATCATCTGGACACTGCTGACACTCTGCTTTTGTTTTCACTTTATTCCATCTTTCTGCTCCATTCCATTCTGAAGCATGGATTTATTACGATACGGCTTCTATACGACAGCCAGCTAGCTCCCCAATTCCTGTGAGCCACTTGTTCATGGATTCAAATCTCCAGTGACAAAATGTGTAGAGCAGAGGCATTTTCATATGATGTCACTAGTCTTAAAAACTCTTGAAAGACGTTCTTCTGAGTTGCGCTTGCTACCATTTCCCTCTGGGGCTCTCCTATGAACAATTTCTTGTTATTTCCTGAGAAGGCTCTCTGCATCTTCTCTCCATCCCCTCCCTCTGAGCAGTCTGTCTGACGTTCCTGCTGATAAGACCTTCCTCTGCAGCTCTCCTAGAGGTAAAGCTGAGTAAGAAGCACCGCTACTGCCAGGGTTTTCTCCACAGTGTTCGGTACTTCTACTCAGTACTTAGGCTTTTTAACTTTCCCCGTGAGTTCCTGGAGTTGGAAGCAAGTATCTAACAACTCAACACTGAGTTTCAGCTTCAGCATGGGAGAACCATGTTTACAGGGACATTAGGGGTATAAACCTAGATCTCCTTATGTTCTCATGAGGAGGTATGGCCCAAATAAGGTTCTAATTTAGGGGACTTGGGAGACTAAGAAATCTCTGGATGCACCTTCCTTCCCCAACATAGATGCTTTTCCAGCACCAGGTCCAGACTTTGATTTTCACCTTTGATTGTCAACTTCAAACTCCTTACAAAACCTCCTGTCCATGCCAGGGTCCCTGTAGTTTTCTTAAGCTAGACCAATTTCTTCACACTTAACACATGATTTAAAGATCTACTAATTTAGAAAAAAATTGTCTAAAATAGGTTATTGCTAGTTTCGTCCTTGATTCTCCTGAAGTAACACCACCTTGGAGTGCCTTCCCATACCCAAAACTCCACAGTACAGCCCTGTTAGAGCCAGGCACACCTTGACTGTAATGCTAGCACCATGAGGGTTCATGTGGATAGGTTCATAAATGCTTATGGACCAGAACTCTATGCTGACGAACCTGCACCAGTCATTTATTTGATTGCTTAAGTGCTTTCCCCCATTTTAGAAAGCCAATAATTCTAATGAGAATTCCACAAATTACTTCAAATTATGTCATGACCTTGAATTATCCCATAAATCTTGATCAAATCAGCTAAGGAGGGAGTGAGTTCTTTCATGCATTTTTTTTGGCAGTAGCCAGTGCCTCTCAGGGGTTCACTTAGAAAACTGCAATGGGCATGGTGAGAGCAGATCAGTCTACAGGAGGCACAGGACAAGTGTTTGTGGTTCTCTGTATAGTTTACAATGGAATACAGTCATCTCTGGTAATCTACGCCTTGGTGTTTCCAAATTAAGACTTGAGAGATTATGGCCATGATCTATCTTCTCTCAGCTAACAACTCCTCAGCGAAGAGAAAAATCAGTGATAACTCCCACTGACGGGAAAAAAAAACAAACAACAAACCAACAGTCGGTGCCCGGAGGAAGTTACTGCTTCAAAATATTTACAGACAGAGTCACTGGCAGAATGGCAGGTGGTTCTTCCCAGTGGGACAGCTGGGGAGAATGTCACCTCCCCTCTGGTAATCACACCGTACAAGTTATCATTCAAAATTAAAATGCTTATTGTAAGTAAGACACTTAAAGCTATCAGGCTTGTTGAAACTAATTTGCACAAACAACATCTGAAGATAAATTATATCTCAAGTACCTTGCTTAAGTTGTTTTTCCACTTGCTTGAATAGACCACTAAATCGGACTTTGAATGGGTGGTTATTGCTTGGCAATACAGTGACCTTCCAGTCTTCTGTTTAGAATTAAGGAGAGAAAGAGCAACTTTTGTAGGCAAGCCAAGCGGGTTCGGGTTACTGGAGCTCACTGTCCAGCCAGTGTAGGCTGAAGTCTTTTGGTCGTTCTGAGGCAGTGGCAGTGACTTCTGTCTCAGCAGGTAACACCATGTAAAGCTGGTCGCGGTCTTGAGGCTGGGAAATGATGGTTGCTGAGCAGCTGAAGTGCTGAGCAATGAAAGAGCAGGACCTGGGAGCTCGCTCTGCCCTTGGGCATTGACTTTCTTCTCTTGATTATTAACCCCTGGTGACTCCTTTTCCTGGTTGTCCGTAGATTTCAAAGGCAAAGTGCAGGCACTTTCTGATGGGACGGGTGAACTTCCCACCGGAGGAGGCAAAGATGTGGATGAGTTGGGGTTTTGAAACTCCTGCAATTCACTGACATGGTCTGTGACTGCAAACTTCGAGGGTCCGGATGACAAATGCTCAGTTGGTACAACCTGGGCCAAATTAGCATTCTCGTTGCCCTTTTCAGATGCAGAGAAAGCATCCTGCTCCAGAAACACTCCTTCAAGGGGCTCTGTGGTGCAATGCTGCCTTACCAGCACTGGCTTCTTCTGTTTGTGGCCATCACCAGCTCTGGAGCTTGGCAGCTCCAAGGGTCTAAGGTTTGTGCTACAAACAGCTCCATTCTCATCTTTAGCCCGCTTCTGATGCTTTTCCATGGCAATGTCTAAACTGTTTGCTGGGGACAGCATCCTTTTACTCGAGGCTGAGGATTCTTGCTGCGGGGAGAGTCTACCAACAGACATCTTCTGATTTGTCGGCAAGGATTCTGAAACTGAAGCATTTTGGCCCATCTCTGGAAGAACTGTTTTGCGCACAGGTTCCTTCTCCGGTGTTGGCAATGCATTTTGGAGATGGTTCTGTGATTTTGGCATGGAATTTTGTTCTTCACTGACTGGCACTATATTTTGATTAGTTTGGCAAACCGGCATGTTGGATAGATCATGGGTCACTAAGATTTGTGGCAGAGATGTGACAGTGGCAAAGCAGTACATGGGAACATTACTCTGTTGGTGCACCGGCAGCATAAAGGATGGCAGCCCCTTCTGCACCCGGTCGTTTGGCAGCCCGAGCTCCAGCAGTGGTGGAGGGCAAGGTTTAGACACAGGATTGGACACTTTGGCTGCGACTGAAGCCGAGCATGGATCTGCTCCAGTTTGATCTGGAAGAACTTGTTTAGGCAGAGGATGCAGAGGACCGGAAGGGCAACCCTGGCCTGAAGTGAACGCTTGACACTGAAGCTGGTACTTGGGGGCAAAGTTACTCTCGCTTGTAGAGGACACACACGCCGTGGGCTGTGCACCTGGTTTGCTGCTCTGTGGAGATGCTGGCAGACACAGCAGTGTGCTTTGGTGACTAAGGGGTGTGCTGCTTTTATTTAATAAATGGACACCAAGAAGCTGTTGAGGAGGAAAGGTGTCAGTAGGCCTGGAACCTGGCAATTCTGCCTGAAGATCCTTAGCCAGGGTCTGTGAGTGCACAGTAGGTGCGGGAAACTCGGCAGAAGGTACATCTGGAAGCTTTGGACCCTGGAAAGGCATTGCATTCACACTAGTAAGGACAGCATTTTGGAAAGAGGACGATGCACTGACAGGAGATAGATGACTATCTGAAGCTAGGTTTAAAGATATCTGCCGGATCAGGGGACCCCGCCTCCTTTCCAAAAGGGGCACGTGTCCGGTGTTCCCACCACCAGATGGGGAGTTGGAGAGCTGTGATTCACCAAGCGCTGCTGCTGCTGCTGCTGCTGCGTGGGACAGAGAGATGCTCCCGCAGTCAAATGACTTACTTCTGAAATCAGACACCTCCATCAGGGTGGGCATACAACTGATCTGCTCCGACGCGGCTCTCCTCATTTCCCTGTGACTCCCAGGGACGCTCAGCGTGTTGGAGCCCAGGGGAATCAAAAGAAACTCCGCCTTACTTGGAAAATCAACTCTGGGGGAAACCTCTGCTTTAGAGGTGTCTTCTATGTCTGAGGCGGCTGAGAAGCTGGATGCATGGGATAAGCTACTCTCTCGGCTGAGGCTCCGGGACAGTGTGGAGTCAAAGCTTGACTCGGTTGAGGAATGCTCTATCTCAGCTAGCCGGAGCCTTTTCTTTTTGGGCGGCAGCTTCTCTGTCGGCAGCTTTGACAAGGTTTCGCTGCGCTGAGGCCAAGTGAACTTCTCTGACTTTTCTTCGTCATGGCCCTGGGCTTCCAGGTCCCGGTCCGGCTCTTCAGTGACCAGAATTTCTGGGACCTGGATGTTGTGCTGCCGAACAAGTCTCAAGGGTTGTCCTAACACATACCGCTCACTTGGAATCTTTCTCGAACTTTCCTGTGCCTCTCCTCTAAGGGCATGTGACAGTGCCGTCTGGCGTGTGGCATCCCGAGGTGGGTGACCTTCCTCTGGGGGGATCCCTATCACTTTCAGAGCTCCTGGCATCCCGGTTCTGCCCAGCTCCTGCAAAGAAAAGGTGGTACCTCCTTCCAAGGGCTCCGTCTTGTCGAATGAACTAGGCCTGCTCAGCGAGTTGGTGTGCTGAATGACAGAGATGCCACCCCCTTGTCTCTTCACCTCTGTCTTGTCCTGAGCCGCAGAATTCAGCTGCTGTTCAACCACAGGGCATTGCTTCAGGTGCAAGGCCTGCGCAGGGACCCTGGCCACAAGCTGGACAGGAGAGCTCTGCAGATGGACTCCTTTGTCACCTGCCGTGGCAGTGGCCTGTTTAGATGGACTGGGAGCAGGGCCTGGGACAGGCTGCAGCTGAAGGGCTTCCGTGCTTTCTGGAGACACCCCGCTCTCGCGTGGCTGCAGGTCCTCATCATCGCCCACACTCTTCATTTTCCTCCTTTTCCTTATCTGGGGCGTCTGCTCCCATGCGCCTGTAGGGCCAGAAACTCTGTAGTGGAGAACCTGGGGCTGTGTCCCGCCGGGTGCAGGGCTGTGCTCGGGCTCTCTCACAGCTAACTTTGTTTTGGGACCGTGTAACTCCGAACAGTAGAATTTCTTATGATTCTCGAAATTCTCCAGTTTCCGGTACCTGTTTCGACAGGTTTCACACTCAAACATGGTCCCTCGCCCCTGATGTGACTTCTTCTTTTCTAGGTGAGGGGTGTGCACTGCTTTGCTGGGCACCGGCCCAGGCTCACTGGTGGCTGGATTCCCCTGACAGCTCTCATCCACAGGCTGCCCAGAGCCCAGCACTTGATTCTCACTGGCTGTGGAGTCTTCCACTGCAGCCTGTCTGACCAGGGGATGGTGATGGCCGCTTGGGGGCATGGAAGGGTTGGGTCCTGACACAAAGACATCATCATACAAGGTGCCAATTTTATCATCAAATGACTGGCTTCCTCGCAGAGGGGGAAGGGGGGAAATTATATTTGCAGGGACCGCTGAATATCCTGTGGTTGGCATGGAGTTACTTCTTGTAATAGGCAAGCAGTCCAGGGAAGGAACAGACAGGAGGAACACTTGCTTCGACTTCTCAGTCGGGGTGAATGGGGACTTTGGTATGTCAGAGCTAGAGCTTGTCCTCCGTCCCATTGGTTTTAGGTCAAACTGGAAGGAATCTTTAAATATGTATGATTTGGGGGAGTCAATGCTCCCCCGTCTAGAAAGTGAGGTTCTCCGGGGCTTCACGCTATCCAGTTGCTTATCATCGACCAGGGCTTCATTGTCTGAAATCAACTTTGAAATCCTTTCCTCCAGAGTTTTGGTTGCCAAGGGTGGGCGCATCTGACCTAAACCTGATGACTTCTCTCCAGTGGCCAGAGCAGAAGGCACTGGGGCACTGATTCGAGGCCCCAGGGGTCCACTGTTCTTAGCTGGGTCTGGCTCCACGGTGGGGAAAGTTCTGGCAAACGGAGTTGGTGGACTCATGGCTTGATCAGCACTTTCAGATCTTGAAAAGTAGCCAGAATCTGTACTTCCTAAGCTCCGAGGACTCAGAAGCAGCTTTCCTTGCTGTTCCTGGGGGTCGTCGGTGGCCTGCTGCCTTTGGAGTTGTGCATGTGCGGTTCCACTGTGAGACTCTGTCTTCCCTTCCGACTGAATCACTTCCCCTTCTTGATGGCACTTCTCATCTGCCTCTAGGGAAGACGCACCAGCTGAATGTGACAGCATGTTTGCAACACGAAGGTCCTTCTGCCTCTGGGTGCTAGGAAGTTCAGGCCTGGGATTGGCCACCTGCGGACCGTCGGTTCTTAAGGGGGACACACTTACTGGGTGGACCACAACTTTTGGTAATTCTGTTGGGCCTTGTGAGTCTGAAGGTCCGTCCTGTAAGGAGATGCCACTGACCGCTTGACCCGAATTGCTTGGAACGGATTTGGGTAAAGCCTCAGGAGTTGATATCTTCTTCATCGTCTGCACAGGCTGCAGGTCCATGACAGCTGGGTCATTCTGCCTCCCATCTCCAGGCCCCTCTTCATCACTTTCCCCACTGTCTTCAACGTCTGAATGGACACTAAGTGCCTTGGGGCACTCTTGGGACAAGAACAAACCACCAGCCTCTGGTTGTAAGACCAGACCCAGTTTGATGGTGTGTGCATGGGATTTTTTGTGCTTATACAGATTACTTTTAGTTTTAAATGAGAACCCGCAAGTCACACAGGGGTAGGGACGCTCTCCAGTATGGGAGCGGATATGCTTTAGAAGCACGCTGGGCTTTGCACATGCTCGGTTGCAATACTCACAGATATATTTGCCTTGTTTTTTGGGCTTCTGATCGCGCAGAAGAAGATTGCACATTTGTTCTACGCTTCGACTGACAACAGAGGAAACATGGGTTGAGCTGTAAGTTGGCCCTGGGGGCGACTGTGTGGAACTGGCGGGGCTTACTGATGAGGGTGACGTGGAATCCATTTGCTGGTGTGGAGGAGTAACCTGAGTTCTACTGGTGGGAGAAGTGAGGCCTACAGCGGATGTCACTGCTATATTATAAATCGGCTCAAGTTTAGTGTTCTCATGGGTGTGCAGATTTGCTAGTGATCCGGTTACGCCCAGGTGCCCCGGAAGCTGTTGATTCTGTTGGCCAGGGTTGGGAACAAGGTGGTCTTGTGGGTTGTACAGGTGAGAAGCACACTGAGCTGCCACGTGCTCACTCTTCTGAGTAGAGGCCACATGTACTGGGTATGAGGTACACGGAGAACACTGCGATTCGGCAACCAATGCTTGGGAAGTTGGATCTGGGGCATCCAGGGAACTGTTTTTTAATTTAGAAGGGGATCGTACAGTTTTATTTGGTCTCAGTTTTTCTGTCTTAATTGCACAAGATGAGCCCTTTTGTGACAAGGTACTCAATTCTGGCTCCATTGCTTTCAGTAAGACATCGAAGGCGGTACTTGTATAGGAGGGGGGCGTGGTGCTACAGCAAGGAGAGCTACATTCACTACTGTCAGTCCTGGCTTTGCTGGATGAGGAGGTGGAGTCCTGCTGTCCATCAAGGCCACTGAGCCTGGCTGGGTCTGAGCCCTCGGACCTCCATCTCCGCAGTTCTGACCGGTGGTGGGGAAACACCGCTTTCTTTGGGGAGACCAAGTCTTCAGATTTGGAGGCCTCAGCCGTCATCCCAGGTGTTTCTCCATTTTGCTTGGCAAACTGCTTCCTGTTTTTGGCAGGGACACAGTTGTGTTTCTTATGAGACTCTGGCCCACTCTGGAGCACATCGAACGCTGACTCTTCTGTGTTTTGCTTGTGTTTTGTCTGAAGAGGATTCCTCAGGGGGGATTTTGGTATTTTTTTCAGGTGATTCTCAGCAACAATCTTTTTCCGTTTCACACCTTTAAGAGACTCAGAAGCCCCTTTAACACCAGCCTCTAGGATTTCTGTTAAGACAAAAGAAGAGCATCTGTTGGTAAAATTGTACATTTGCCACAATTGTTTAAAAACTAAGATTAATATCAAAAGAGTGAGAAGCCTCTTTTAACAGATCTGTGTCTTGACACTGTGGACATTTTAAGAGGGGATCCAAACCAAATCTACAGAAACCCTGACACAGATATCGTGGTGAGGAGTGGAACACCCTGGAATACTCAGCTCCTTTCTGGAGGAGCCACGGCCCACAGAACGGTGCTGCTCACACTATACTCTGAGAAGGCTGGCCAAACAGGGAAGAAAATTCACCTTCCTAAAGGGGTACCTGACTGACTTACAGCACACCCACAAAAATTCACCCTTCCTAAAGGGGTACCTGACTTAACAGCACATCCACAAAAATTCACCCTTCCTAAAGGGGTACCTGACTT